TACTGGCCCACTGACACCAACAAAATACGCGACCTTCTCGACTTCTTCGTAACTAAAAATATCTCACCAAGACACGACCAGATCAACTCCTAGGCTGATCTCTCCTCTGATCATTCTCCCGTGATAGCAACAGTCAGTTCAACAATCATCGAGAATACACCTAATTTCTCCATTCACAACCAACACACCAACTGGCAGCTCTTTAGAGAAGTCTTTACACACTCAGCCTCAGCCTTAACCCCACTAAAAACAAAGGAAGAAATCGAAGCAGCCACGGAATACTTAAACACGAGCATAATAAACGCAATCCGCCTCTCGACATCGACAAAGACGTCTATCAGCAAACAAGAATATCCCCAATACATGCTGAAAAAAATAGCAGAGAAACGTAGACTAAGAAGAGTTTGGCAGACCCATAGAACACCGGATGACAAACGCAAACTAAACAACGCAACTAGAAAGCTATCCAAAACCTTAATAAATTATAGAAACGACTGTTTCCAAAAATACCTCGCCAGCTTATCCCCCACAGCCGACTCCAACTACTCACTATGGAAGGCCTCCAGGAAACTCACACGCCCCTCACAAATAATCCCTCCAATCCGCCGTCCGCAAGGTTTGGTACGTGGAGAAATCCTCATGGACACTCCGCTGCTGCGATAATCGCGTAACAGCAGAGTAGTGTCGGACTCCTACCGACTAAAACTCCACGATGACCATCTTATGCGCGTGATAGGGGTGCTCCAGGAACCTCTTATGAATTAACTTCAGTTGCACCCCCTTCTCGCGTTCTCTTGTTCAAATCGGCTATTGAGTAGGCGTTAGGGGGACGTCGTTGCCCCTAGCGCTGTCACTTCTTCTGGTCGTAGTCTGTTGGGGTGGTGGCGGGGCGGCTCTGGGTCGTCTAACTGCCATCCTTCTCCATCGTTTTATCCTGCAGAGTTGAGAGTTTTTCTTTCTCTAGAGTTGAGAGTTTTTCTTTCTCTCCCTTCCCGCTCGCTCCTTCGCGAGCATAACGCGCCTCGTATTCCTGTGACCCCCTCAACATCGCTTCTACAATCGCTGAAGGGGTCAACGTTTCTCCTATGGCGTGCCGCAGGGTGTAGCGGGGCAGCTCCCACGACGGACAGAGCTCCAGGGTGTGCTGCGCTGTGTCCCTGCCCTCTCCGCAGTGGTGGCAGGTGTCTGTCGTCTCTCGCCTTATTCTCTTCAGGAACTCGCCGATTACGCCGTGTCCGGTGAGCACTTATGTCATCCTGAATGTGAGTGGGAGGCCGTGGCGGCTCCTCCATGCCTCCCAGTTTGGTAGGACCGTATCCGCGCCTCGGTGTTCGCTACTCCTGTTGATCAGTTGGGATCGCCACAGGTTCCATGTGTCCTCCTCAGCGGTTCCTGTGTCGTTTGGAGCTGCCTGCTCGGTGGGGTCTTCTCCCGGGTGACATTCTCTCCGGCGGGTGTATCTCTTTTTGAGCACCAGCGCCCGCAGCTCCCACGGGGGGGACGCGGCTAGGGTGGACGCCGACGCGTGAGACACCGTCCGGTATCCCCTA